CGTCGGCGTCGACATAATTGTTTGTGAGTGAAAAATTGTCATCCTGGACGTGACCTAAAAATTCGAAAATATTCAAATAAAATAAAGTTCAGAACTGTGGGTCACAGTGGGGATCTAACCTGAGGCGTTTGCGCAGCAAGTGGGCGTTCTACCATACAGCTACATGCCTGTTTTTTTTTATGACATCTTATTTCAAAATTAGGAAATTTATCTTCATAAAAACCACATTGGTCTACTCCATCAGTGTGATGAAAGCCATCACACTTCCATACAATCTGGAAGTTCATTCAAGGTTCAATATATCTCGTGCACATGTGTTACACATTCAAGAAGGCTTCCCGTGCCGATTTTGCTTTAGGATCCATGGCCAAGCCTGTTACCCAAAGAGTGTAAAGGGCCAGTAACAATATCATAACATATGAAACACCACCCTCATTTTGTACTTATAGATAACGAATTCTATAGGGTGTTCTTGGCAGATATTTCTGCAATGTACTTTGTAACACATCCTAAATAAATATTGGATCCCAGGAGTCAATGATCACGTGTGAAATCGATTACGGTTTGTTACACAGAGTGCAGTTTACGCCAACACAAAAGCGTAGCCAAGGAGTGACACACCGGGCCGATACCCCACACCCCTCCCAAAATTTCTTTTCTCCATGGCATAGACATCAAGAAATGACCATTTCAAGCGGGTGCCCTCCATGCAATGAAGGAGATTGATACGTTCATGGTATAAATTTGCCCTTGTGTATCAGCCACGTTTTTACAGGCAATGTGCTCGTGTGTAACTTGAAGAAAAACAATTCTATAGATCCCCTGTCAGTCTCTTCACTCTTTTTCGCACGTCTTGGCCGGGGGTGTTATTCTTCAGTTATTTTTGTACTACTGTGTGCATCATTTCTGCTATCAAGTTGTTGTACTGCAGTCTTTTTCTTGTTACAAGGCACATGTCTGCTTTTAAATACAGTGAAAATAATACCATCTGCTTAGAAATGCACAAGAATTGTTGGCAGTAATAATGCGTAGTACAAGGGTACATTACTATCAGAAGTCAGAACATGCGATTACCATAATGGCTTGATTATTTAAAGCCGGTCACCCACTTCAAGAGGAACACACGTTACTGTGCATATTTCCTTAAGGCCAAGTTTTGAGTGCATAGAAAGTTTGAAAATAATTTGTGCATTGAGAGTTTAAAGTACGCTCGGTACAGGACATCTCTATCACATTTGACTTTTAAAGGTGAATCTTAAAGGTCCCCCAATTTTTTTAAACTCATCAGGATCTCGGGTTGGTTCAAAGAAAGTGTGATTGGTGTCATTTATGCTCACGTTTTACAGCGAAAGCTGTTACGAGATCCATAGTTGTCCGCAGCCACAGCTGCTGGTGTCCAAAACCATCGTGGATGGTACAGGACATCGCTATCACATTCGACTCTTAAAGGTGAATCTTAAAGGTCCCCCAATTTTTTTAAACTCATCAGGATCTCGGGTTGGTTCAAAGAAAGTGTGATTGGTGTCATTTATGCTCACGTTTTACAGTGAAAGCTGTTACGAGATCCATAGTTGTCCGCAGCCACAGCTGCTGGTGTCCAAAACCATCGTGAATGGTACAGGACATCGCTATCACATTCGACTTTTAAAGGTGAATCTTAAAGGTCCCCCAATTTTTTTAAACTCATCAGGATCTCGGGTTGGTTCAAAGAAAGTGTGATTGGTGTCATTTATGCTCACGTTTTACAGCGAAAGCTGTTACGAGATCCATAGTTGTCCGCAGCCACAGCTGCTGGTGTCCAAACCCATCGTGCGAAATAAGGAAAAAAAATTTAGTACTGATGACACAGTGGGACTCGAACCCGGGTCCGCTGGGTGCCAGCCCAGTATTCTACCACTGAGCCACGCCTGTGATTGGGAGCTCTTTGCAAACTTGCATTAGGCAGGCTTGATGTCGGGAAAGCAATAAAGCGTTTTCAAACAGCGAAAAAACAAGCAGTCGTCACACAATGGGAATAGTGTAACGAGTGGCCAATGCTGCAACCCATCACAAAAGCTTGTTTTTTGTTCAGCTCTAAACGGTGGCGCATACCCACTTCAGGCATAATTCCTCACCACCGTCAGCCACTGCACGAACAACTGGCACAAAATTTCTCACTATAGTTTTGCGGATACCACGCTTCTCAGAAGAATGACGAAAAATAGCATTGGGAATATCGGCCTAGTACTCTAACAATTTTATTAATGATGCCGTAGTGGATACCCAGCAAGTGCTTGCAGCAGTTACCCAATGAGTGTTTAGAAAATGCTCTGAAAGGCTGCTCTTCTAGCTTTCGCTATGACTGTTCTGCGCTTTCCGTGCAGGCCTGGCCTTTTTGTTTTGTTTTTGTAGCTCGGGGCACAATAAGAAAACACTGTTTATTGTTGTCTCTCGTCACAAGTTGGAACTTTTTCATAAGAGACGACAGTTCACTAAATAATGGCTCGAAGAAGCAAGCGAGTGCCGAAAACGTGATGTCGTGTCTAAGCGGCAACACGCGCATCACGACGCGCAGCGCAGCATGTGAAGTAAAACGGAACAGCAGCGCTATTAGTTCACGCGTGAGCCACTTGTGCTGACACGTGCGCCGAGCTGCGGAACTGACCTGGTTCTAGTAATATTGCTCATCGTTCACTCCCCATTGGTGCACCCAGCGCACCTCCTTATGAAAGCGCACTCACTACCGTGTTTGTCACAAACAATTTCTGGCAACCGCATTATAACCAGCCTTTCATCTTGCGGGACTGCACAATAAGCAGTATGCATATACACTGGGTTTTATGGGAGGGTAAATGGGAGTAGGAAAAGACCGCATTGTAAGCGGTTCTGCACTATAAGCGGTTATGTTATGAGTGGTCTACACAGTAGATTTTTTCTTGTGGTACTAGAAACGTCACTTGTGAGCGCCTTGCACAACTTTTTTGTGACATGCTAGCATGTAATTCTGTTAAGCCGGCACTCTTAAATTATAACACGTTGACGAGCGCTACACATATCACTCAATGTGGCGCGGTGAAGACGCAGAATTCGAAAAAAGCCAAGCAAACAATAAAAGTGAACCTGCGTCCAGGCGTTGCCACCAATCGGCACCATGATGAAAATACTGAGATAGTAGATGCTATTGTTAGGAGCGCATTGTCACTCAGCGCCTGGGACGCGTCATACATATATAGCACTGTGAACATCGCAGGGTGCTGAATGTCGCGTTGCGCCCTCATATGCAAATTGACATCAAAATGAAATAGCTTCGGCACTACGTTCGTACAAATGTTGTTCATAAAAGCATAAGAATGCCAAGCTATATAGAGAAGGCCACATCACAAGCTTGAAATTTTATGCCACTGCACTTCTCTGTCTCAGAGTTCTGCAATGAAAATACTAACTAGGAATGAAAAATTCTGCAATGAAATACCAACTAGCCAGCATAGACACCCTTGTTCAGTATCGCAGTATGCCTCTGCAGTCATTATCTCTCATAGTTATATGTATTTTTTAACGAATTCCAGTGTCTCGCTATCTATAGCAAAGCACTGTGCTCTTCAGAAACTGCTAGACATCAGTTTGGTTTTCTGCGTAATAAATATCAGTCCAACCATTGAGCTTTTCTTGCTTTAAATGTACTTGTGGGTTTGTTGGTTGATCATTGCAGCATGTGGCAGCACACAGCGAATAAGACGATAAACACAAAACACAAAAACATAGAAACAGGAGCGCTTTTGTTGTTCATTTATTTTTGTGATCTTTGCTTCACTCGCTGTGTGAAGCCATATGCCATAAAAAGAGTTCTTTGTCCAATTGTGTATAGACAATTTGCAATTCTTCCCCCAAGTTACTCAATAAGGCGATCCAATTAGCAAGTCACAGGTTACTAAAGCCATATTCACACAGAGGATAAATCCTCAAGGGAGAAAGGAGGATTGTAAATCACGTTACAAAGACGTCCCACAATAGAGAGCAGGCACAACCTTTTCATGTATTCTCGTGAGAGACGGGGGAACATTTGACTGACAGGGGAAACTATCCCTCCCTTATGGGGAATATAGTAGATTTCGCGCAGCTGTTTTTTTGGCCACACTGCTGCACTTGCTCTGGTTGAGAGCTTCATCGAGTGTGCAGTTTGCAGCCACTCACAACACTGTTTGAGAATGCAGCTGTTTCGCCCTGAGTAGCTGCTGAAACAAGCGATAAATCTAAGCTACCAAAGTACTCTGGTAACACTGGCGCCTCATCAGTGTGAGCGGGGCGCATTAGTAGAGAAATCTGCACATGAGCTGACATCATCTTGCTTTGCCTTTGCCCACAGAGGATTTCTACCCGTGCGAATACCCCATGTGAACCTACTCTTCGTTCCTTTGTATCTCTAACTGTTCGAAATACAGTGCCCCGAAAAACTCCTCTGAGCGGGTGGTGATTAGCATTGATGAGACCGTGTCTCCTTGTGTTTAGCTCTTTTTTGTAGAAATTTTATGGCTTGCTTAACAGAAGATGATGCACAACAGCCGTGTTCTTGTATATGGTTGCTCGCTGCCTTGATGCCGGGACACCTGTCTACTGAAATATAGGTTGCATCAACTGTTTTCTCATAATGAATAACGGCCATAAGTCGGCAAAAATGTCGAGCGCACTGACATTAAATCAAGAAATATATTTTCATTTAGACTTGGATTCAGCCTCAGTGTGTTTTACATTTACTTTTTTTTTAACCGGACTTGTTGTACTCAAGCTCATCAAGATATTACACACTCAGGCTTGATCGCGGCTTGGTCTCAGCATCAGTAAATGGACCCATGTCGACCTGCAATGAAGAATGGTTTGATTGCACGCATTTTTTTTTTATCACCGGCTTGATTGTGTGAGTACTGTTTATTATGGAGTACCCTGTACAAAATCTAGCTTGGTGCTTGGCTTGACTGAATCCCACCTAATTCTGTCAGCTAACATACATCCTTTTTATCCTGCAGTGGTCCTTCCTCGAGTGGCCTGAACCAACTTGGAAGTGAAGATGGGGACTCCATCACGCACATAATCGATGACACAGAAGACGGTATTGATAACGCTGCCTTTGAACAGGAAAGCGACGATGGCTGTGTCATGGTTGACGGCAAGCGTGCCGTCACGTTGCAGGACTTCGGCAAGTTCGCCGACCGTGCACAGAGCCCCGCAGGATCTACGGCTGGTTCTGTGGCAGCCAAGAGGCGTGTCCTCGGCTCTAGCATTGGATTTAACGTCAAGGACATCAGCATAGACATGCACACCGACTCGTCCAAGTGGTGACATTTTTTGCCGCTTTGTCGATTCGAGAACACTGTGCTGCGCAGATGTGTCATCCACCACTACATTTCTAGTGTGCATATAGGTGCTGCCTAGTCCAAAAATGCTCCTACAAACATGCAAACACAGGTCGGCCTTTTTAAATATGCTTAGGAAGCTCGAGGCTACCACACATTTCGTGGCGCTTCGAAGCTGCGACACTTGAGGTATTCGGCGTGCCAAGTTTTGCAAAATAACTCTCTCGGTACATTTTACGGGTACAGAAAGAGAAAGAACGCAAGTATAGCTTCACGAAGTCACATTGGTGGTCCTACACTTCTTACTAGTTTTTGCTTGATGTCATAATGCGGAACATCTGCTTGAGAACCCATTATTCTAAGTACATCCCTTCAACTGCTCATGACACTAAGCCTCCTTTCTTTTATCTTACCCAAAGTTTTCACCGTCATATGATTCATTCTCAGTACAAGCTTCACATTGCAATTACAATGACTTGTAGATGCATGTGTTGTGCCAAATTGGCACCTGAAATTGCAGTAAAAGCAAACTTGACATGAACCAAGCATATCTGTATGTGTAAAACGGCAATCAAAATGAGGGCGTCACCTGTGAGAACACACTGTCTTAGCGACCTTGCCATCATGCTTCCAGGCACAAAGCTGTGATCAGTGACCACAATGGTCAAATTTTAGTGTCTTGCTTGTTTGTAAAGTGCCTGTGTGCTCAGATCTAGTCGCATGTTGGTGAACCTGGGTGAATAAAAATCTTAAAGCAGTCCTAATTGTTTCAAGCCTCAAAAAGAGATGATGGTTTTGATTCGTAATGCCTCATAATTTACGAAAATTCTTCTATGCTTCAGAAACAAAAAACTTAGTTGGCTTACAATATCTCGAATTTCTTATTTGTCTGTTATTCATGCTTTTCTTGGCAGCAACCACTAAATTTATACTATGCGTGATTTTCAACTGTTCTCGCCTAGTCAGGCGTCAATTTCAAAAAGTTTATAGATGTGACAGTGAAAGATGGAACATTTTTTCTAGCGAATGCGTCGCAAATAAAGCACGGTCGCAAACCATGGAACGAAGAAGGGACACACAAAACGACGTGAGTCTTGCGACCATCATGGTTCATGCCAAGCAGGCTGTGATTACAAGCTGTTATTCGACCTCGAAGACATAATTCAGGCACTTTTCGTCTTTCCTATCAAAGTCAACATCTAGAAGCAAGTGCTTTTTCGCTGCGATGGTTGGGATCAAATGATCGAGTAACAACCAGTCATTTGTATTTATTCATTGTCTCGATGACAGTTGCTTATATATAAATATAATAGGTTTGGTAAACATGTACACGAAAAATGAAAAAACTGTGTTTTAGGTGAAATATTCATAATCAAACTACCAGATAGGCAGGTGCCTAGAAAACAGGAGATAGTCACTGTATTATACATTATGAAGACGATTCAGCAGCAAAGTAAAAGAGTTATTTATGACTCATCATGGTAGCCTTTTGTAACAAGTCGTCTTGCTTGCATCCACAACGATTACAAGGGCACCTCTTTCATACATATTTCTGTCGTGCCGTGCGCCATAAGACCTCTTACCACTGTGCATTGTAAAACTTGGTGGCAGGCACTGCAAGGGCTGTTCTTGCAGTATGGGCGATAGGCAAAACAAGGCTTTGCGCCATTATATTTTTCCTTTCTGAAAAACTGAGTATGCCGCAGGCTGTGATGCCCTATATATTTTCCATATTAACATCTGCACTCAAAAGTGTGTTTTAAAATAAGTTTAACTTCTAAAGAGCAGGTCTTTGAAAAAAATATAGCTGTGACAAGTTACTGCTACCTTGGTGTAGAATTCGCGTGCCTGCCTGATACAGCTTTTGTTGTGTGTCAGATACCTGTGCATTATAAGTGAGCAAATTGTTGAAATTTGAAGTGTGTGAATGTGAAATTTCTAACTTCAAAGCAAATTCGAATTATAAAAACTATGTGCCACTAGAAGTGAATATTCTTTGGATATTTTTAAATAAGGCTACTAGTATAACTACAGACTTTCGCGTTATATGTTTGTTCTACAAATCAGACATGAAAAAGCAAGGTTGTACTGGAAGTACAAGGCAAATTCATGCATTGTATTGTGCTTGGCTGTACGTCATGTGCAGTTATTAGATCTTGTAATGAAGGACGAGTAGCTCTGTGCTATGTTCAGAAAACAGCTGCATCATTGTGCACATAGCCATTCTTTAAGACAACAGAAACAACTACCCACCAAATACCCCATTGCAGTTTCGTTAGTTATGGTGACACAGTTTAAGTTTCCAAGTTTGCTTTTTCAACAGAGACTCTTGCTGGTGGTGAAGGTACTAAGGCACTCGGCTGCTGACACACAGGTCGCTGAATTGAATCCCAGTGCGGCGGCTGCATTTTCGATAGAAGCGAAATGCTTAAGTCTCATGTGCTTAGATTTAGGTGCATGTTAACCCCTGGCGGTCAAAATTTACACAGCCCACCATAATGATACCTATTGATCATTTCATGGTTTAAGGACGTTAAACCCAAACAAATATTATTAATATTATTATTATATTTTTTATCAACAGGCTCAAGTGATAGGCATGATGTTCACTGTAGGTGCGTTATCTTTGCATAACCGATATACAAATGCTGGGTTTTCTATGTTTTATAGATTTCTTGTTAATTTTTTCATGACTTCCCATTTGTTTCGGTGGCAAGCATCATTACATTTCTAGTACTCTAATGCAGATTTGTAATTGCCAGCATGCACAATATGAAGCCCTGCGTTTTACCATAGAATGCCAAAACAACACCTTCTAAAGCGCACCAAAAAGCGGAACTTGTCGCAATGAAAACTCACTTGCCGAGTCTTTTAAAGTCATGTGCTGTTTGAATATTTCGAAAAATGAAAGTGCTGTGCAGTCAAAAAACCAACTATTGGAATAGAGTATCAAAAATATCGGATATTAGTGCTTGCCTCAAGGAAAGTCGACTTTATTTTAGCACAGGGATTTCAGTATTCCACATTATTATAATACAAGGCCTATAAGAAACTTGATATGCGCACAGTTATGCTGAAACACCTTAAAATACTAATCAAAGGTTTGTGATTGCCTAAATATTGCACGTTGCGATAAATATTATGAGCAAGTTATAGATAGCAGTGTAGGTAAGTACCCAAGGCAGATCAAGTAGAAGTCGACAGGCTTGCTTTATAGCAGGTCAAAACAATGGCTTTCCATGAATCTTGTGTACTTTGAATAGGCCTTACTATTGTATAAACTTGGTTTGGCAAAAGTGTGACTGTAGTCAAATTATTTAGTTAAATCTTGAGGCTTGTAAAACACTGAAAATGAAGCTGAAACTTTTTCAGAATCTAAAATTGCAATCTAGCAGTAAGTTTTGAAAGCTGCTGAAGTATTTTTTTTCTTTTCAACTAAGGGGGTCTGAAAAGTGAGCAAGGGTACACTGGTCCTCCCAAGTGAGGGTGATACAACTGTAGTACTGGGAGACTATGGTGAGCGGCTGATGTGCAAATGCAGAGCAATTAAGTTTGAAAGGTCGGTCGCATAAACCAATGATTAAGGAAAGGAACCAAAGTATAGGAACATGTATGGGGACAACAAGGAACTCCTGGTGCTTGAAAGCGCTACCAACGATTCAATCATAGGCGCAGCGGCAGCCTAGTCAGGATAAATGTAGGGGGCGTGACTAGGGGGGCTGTAGGGGGCGTGACTAGGGGGGGGTTCTAATTTGGTAACAACACAGAGCGCGCTCAACGAAAATCTCGTCTGTGCCAAAATAAGAAGCAGTTTGTCGCATTTTCGCTCATATATTTTTGAATGAACTTTGCTAAATAAATTGTAGTGCCGTGATAGTTCATGAATTCTAGTTCTTCACACCATTGAACCATTTATGCACCAGCTGGGAAATGAAAATTTCTTCATCGGATCAGGAAATTGGCAAGATAGGGTTTTGTTAGATCGAGTTTAACTACATACCATTGTGAGAAATTCACAGGCTTCGGGATAATGCCAAGAAATCCTGCAATAGTTCAGTATAAAATTGAAAGGGTGGACTTCACGTTGGTCGCTTCTCAGCCATACGGCCTGGAAGGTGAGACCTATCAATTATGTGATCAGAAATGATTGTTTCATTCGTCAATGACTTCTTGCAGGTGAGTACGAAGAGTGATTGTTGCGAATTTGTGTTGCTGAATACACCAACATAGTAGTTGTACAGTGTTTTTTTATGGTTCGCGAAAGGAGCTCTGATTTTCATGTAAGTCTTCATGGCTTTGTAATAATATTGAGTCATCGAATTCATTTGGATGTTCTGTAACCGTCTGGTTATTTTTATTGTGTTTTGCTACCACCTACAGCTTGTGCATGTATGTTATTTATTGCTGGCACTCGAGGAGTTGTCTTTACGTGACGCCCGTCGTGTACGAGAAACGCAAACTGTGTTGTGTAAAAAATGGCCCCTGAATTAGTGCGTGATAAATGACTCTAGTCTATACTGTGTCTGAGATAAGCTTGTTAGCGAGAAGTGGTACTACGAGTGATCACATACACTGAACATGATGGTGCACTTTGTTATTATGTGAGAACAGCAAGCGTCAATGACTGGTACTGTCATTCTGCGTTTGACGTGCTCAGATTGTGTTTTGAGAACTTTGTTGTTGTGTCTACTAGCACACAGGCTATTAAGACTTGGTCGCACTACCCAGCAGAAAACTGGGAGAAAAACGTACTGCCGTTGCGATCAGTCCAGACGTACATTGTCCATGTGCTGGCAGCTGCAGAAGCTATCAGCAAATATTGTCATCGAGTACGTCTTCTGAATGCAGAACAACTGATGCGAGGAGTGTATTGGTTTTCTAACTTTAAGACTGTGGTCGCGTTTTGTTTTCGATGTCATTTTGTACGTTATCAGTTGACTGTCAATAAAAATGATGTTTTCATATGCTGCGTTCCTTCCTTAAAGCCAGTCTACATTTATTCAGACTTGGAAGCATTGGAACTACATGAATTGATGCACGCTATGCCGTGATGTGTAATATAACGAAGGGTTTTTCATAAAATTGCATCAGTTAGAAATTGGCAACATTCATGAATACGCTCCCATAAAAGATAGCATGTCCACTTTTTTTGTGGCATTACAAATTCAGCAAGAATGAGACAAAACTAGCAAACACCAAAAGATTAAGCGATCCAAAATAGGTAGTTCCTCAAAAAAGCCGCATGCCATTTGAACACGACTGCTCGAGCAACGTTGCTAGAAAAAGAGCACATGTCTGGATGCTCTAAACATAGGAATTGTGCTTGCCTAAAATGTTTGGTTCCACATTGCGAGGAATACTTTCTAGTAGAACACACTAAGGAGGACACAGGTCTTCGAGTCATTTTTCTTCCTGCAAGCAACTGCCTCAGTGCATTTGGCTGGAAACCCTCAGAGAAAAGCTTGGGATTGACGATGGCTCTACGCTTTGTAGACTCGAGCACAGGTTCGCAACAGCATGTAAGTTTTCCTAATGCATAATCAGGAACTGGCATAATGAATGTCAAGATCTTAAGCTCTAGCCTGCATGTACTTTAGGGGAAAGGCAGAACTTTTTCATTGCTGTACATATAATGTAGGAAACACGGAAAAGGGAGATTCTTATCAGCCACTTAGATAAAAGAACAAGAGAAGAAGGTCAAGCTGGCGCTGTCCTTGCTATCTTGGTAGGTGCTACCCCGACGACTCAGACTGCATAAAAACAGTGTTTTTAGGGGCATAGCTTCTTTGGACCTAACTGTTGTGGTTCCTGTATACACAACTTCCTGCAGCTAGTTTTTTTAAGTAAAACCAGATTCCTTCAATTCCTTTACTGGTCATGAAGCTTCGGCGAAGGTTTGAAATAGTGACAGGAGCAACCGTTTAGGGCGCCCATGGCGGGGCAAAGCTGATAATAGTCGAACCCCTCTACAACGAAACTGACGGGACGCGGAAAAAGTTTAGTTGAAGCGAAAACTTTCTTGTAGCAAAATCGAAAAAATATCGCCGATCTGAGCTAGCGAAACAAAGAAACGTTTATTCTCAAAATTCAAAAAAATGGCCGCCGCTCTTTATGCTTTCCCAGCAGCATCCCAACATTATTCTCACTCATGGTGAAAAGCACGCTTAAATTACACCTAAAACCGCTTTCGTGAACGAACCAAACAGTTGCATTAGCACGTCAACACCAGCAGCTGTACGCCGTTAATAAGTATCGGACACTGCCGAGATAGAGGCAGGGTATCATGGAGCGGCGACTTTTGCATTATTCTATGCCATTCTTATTATCCATCACTCGCGACTAGCTGATTTTGTTGATAATGCGGACGAACAGCCGCTCTGGTTAGTTGCAACACTGACAGAGCGCGAACATAATGATAAACATCGGAATCGGAAAAGGCATCATGCCGCGGTTGCACCCAGCAGCTGCGATACAAGGTCCGTTCGATTCGCTTGCACCACGTGAACCAGTTCACGAGGTGCTGCACCTTACCATTCGTTTCAGCGGTGCAGCATTGACGACCGCTGAACCCTGCCATTCGTTTCGAAAGGTGCAGAAGAGGTGCAGCACCGGTTCACGATTTTCCTGCACCTCCTTCGCTGACGGTGCCGGCTTGGTGCAGGCGCGCGTGCAGCTGAGCAGACACGCAGCACTTAAGACGTAGGTGGCTTAGGCGCCGTACCCGCCTCTACAAATGCGGTGTGTTTACCAAGATGTTTGCGACTCATAAATTGTCCGCATGTGCGTTTCGCCATAGGTCAGTGTTTGCTGAATGGTGTAAATTAACCGAAAAGAAATAAGGCCAACACCTTGTCGGCACATCGTCATTTGTTTCGGGTGTCGTGCTGTGCCTGCACCGCTGAACTCACGCTGCACAATTTCTGAACTTCGCGTGCACAGCCGTGAACCGGTTCCTACCGGTGCAGGTGAATCGAACGGACCTACAGTGTAGTAGAATATGGGGTAGTGTGTTGAGGTACCCTCTCTCGCCATGCATCGCGTGAAGCGGCGCACGTGGACAAAAAACCGGTTCTCAAGGCGACGCTACCGTAGCATGGGCTGGCCAAGCCTCACTGCGTGCTCAGTGCCTTCTTCGGCGCCGCATTTTGTGGGGGTGCAACCGCTTCATCATGGTGCGAACATACTGGAAACTGCTGCATGTTCCCTGCCTGACATTTGCCAAGGCAGCAGTCTGCTTGACAGCGGCAATGCCAAATCTAGGAGGCGTTGGCAGCGGTCACCAGAGAATGGCTGGAGCGGCGGCAACGAGAAGTTGGTCGCACGGTGCTTGCGTTATATGGAATAACGAGGCAGTACAGGGGGACCTCGGCTGGTCTGGTTTTAAAGCACACGAGGCCTCCAGCAAGTTAGTGTGCAGGGGTCGCCTTCAATAGTCATGTGCAGAGAGCGCTGGGCAAGGCAGGTATTCGAATACCTTGCGGCAACGTGTATGCGTACAACTTGGTGAACTGGGTGTATCGGCTAGAAAAGAAGTACGTCTCATTCACAGAGCCGCTCCAGGCGGAAACTCCAAGACTCCAAGGAGGTGCGTGAACACGTACGCGACAGAGAGAAGGAGTTATGGCAACACGCAATGAGTGGAAAAGCTACCCTCGAACTTTACCGCAACAGTAAAAGAACAATAGGCTCAGCTCGCATTTACAACAGCACCGGGAGTTTGCTTCTGTTCGAGGTACGAGCTGGCACGCTTCAAACCCTTACATACAAGAGAACGATCGGCGGGGAGACGGCTTCGGTGCTGTGTCGTGCCTGTGGAAGTGCGGACGAGACAATTGCGCATCTCGTGATTGAGTGCGGACAGATAGGACTCCCACCCACGGATTCATTGCGCTCCGCGTTGGGCTTTGCGGAGGAAGGTGGAGAGACTGATCTGCAGTCAGCGAGAGTCGATGCGGCGCCTTGAACGCTGGAGGGAAGTGGTTATGGCACAGTGGTCGAGAACGCAAGGTGGCACAGTGTAATGACTAGATAGAGGCAATGCAGTATCAAGCGCGGTTGTTAGCGAACACAAACTGAGCGCGCCCTTATGCTTGTGCTTTCTTACTCGCTCGCTGGATTCAGTGCTGACCGGCTGTACACTCGCGATCTCCGACGACAGCACAACTCTGGCCGACTTGGTTCGTCCTACGCCACCTCTTGCCGATTGGATTAGCCCTACACCATCTCCTTTCGCCGAAAAGTGCTCTCGCAAGTGGTGCCCCGTCCTCGGACTCCTGTGACCGTGTTTCCATCTTTCATATCCCTCCTATCCCTCATATGTCGTCGCTCGCTGTCCCAGCGCATCTCTCTTTCTCTCTATACCTTTATTCCTTTTCTTTTAATCCCTCCTCACCCCTATTCCTTGTGAGCTACTGTTGAGGTGACGCACGCTGATGTAGACAGTTGTTGTTGTTTCTGTTTTGTTCTGGGTTTCGGTTTCGGATTGACATGTGAGGATGCCAGGGGGCGCCGCTCTGGCATCTAGGATTTCAAGGCGACTGTAAAATAAAGACAGTGTGTGTTAGGTAACCGTGGAGTGCGTTTGTTGTGCTTTTCTTTCGGCGCTTCGCGCCAACCCGCGTGTTCGGGCTGGTCGGTGTCCCCGCCGGCCGCGTACGTCTCCGTCGGCCGTCTTCTTCTTCTGCTTCGTCGGGACCAGCTAGCCCCAACACAGCAATGGCGACGAGGACCTGTAAGAACCCATTTCGTTTTCCGTGTTCGTGTGTTTCGTGCCTCTAACGGACCTACTCTGATAACCCTAGACGCTCTTTGTTCCCAGTAAGGTGGCTCCTGCGTGCTGCGTCGCTTCATTCCTTCTTCATTCAGCTACGCCGCCTCTGTCGTCTTCTTCAAACAGTGAACTGGCGTCATTTTCTTCTCGACTGCACCTCTCCATTCTTCTTACTTGAAATGGCGTCTCCTATTCCACCTCCCCTATTTCTTCATTCGCCCGGAGACCCGCCACTTCCGTGGGCGGACTGGAAATTGGTGTTTCAGGCCTACGCAGACGCGGTCGGGGAGGACGCCAGCAAGCCCGAGCGTTGCAAGGCCCTGCTGCTCAGCGCGTTGGGCCCTGCCGGGTTAAAGCTCTTCCATATTTTGGAAGCCACCAACGCGTCGCTGACGCCAGCGTCGGGCGATGCCTTCAAGAATGCTGTTGCTCTTTTCGATGAGCATTTTAAAGATGTTTCGTGCGATTATCTCGCACGCGTGAAATTCCAAGAAAGGCGACAATTGCCTGGTGAGCCAGTCGTCGAGTTCATTACTTCTCTTCGAACGCTCGCCGCGTCGTGCGGCTTCGGCGCGCTTGAGGACGATATGATCCGCCATCAGCTTTTCACCGGGGTAACCTCGCAAAACGTCCGCTGCCGCATGCTTCAAAAGGGCTCCTCGATTTCATTATCCGAAGCCCTCTCGATTGCGCGAGAGGACGAGCTTATTCGCTCCAAGTTGGAGCAATTCGCTCCGCATTCAGTGCAGCAACTTTCTGCGGCGGGGGCCAAGGCGGCGGCTCTTCATCTTCGTCTCGGCGCGGCGGCCAACACGGCGGCCCCTCTGCGTCACGGGGGCGAGGAAGCCGACAATATGGCGACCCCATTCCACCAAATTCTGGTTTTCAGGAACAGCACCGAGCTCCTAATTCGCGTTCGCAATTTTCTTCTCCAAGCGCAACAGCGCATTGCTTTCGTTGTGGATCGGCTCGGCATTTAGCCAATTTTGCCCAGTGTCCCGCGAGAAACCACACTTGTCTTGCGTGCGGAAAAAGCGGACATGTTCAGTCCGTATGCAATTCCCGTCCAGCAAATCTTCCGGAACCAGTTTCTTCGTCTGCTCCTTCGAGCACTGCACAAACCAATACGGTCACTGTTTTAAATATGGATGGCCTCCACTCTACGTCCGAGCCCAGCATCGTAGTTTCAGTGGG